AGGTTATTCTTTTGTAAAACGTTAACATGGATGACTAAAGGGTATTGGGTTAATTAATTCTAAAAGTGTGGTACAAATGTTATTTTTTGTAGCCAATTCTTCAAAATTATTTTGAAATATCTTTTCAATATTGAATATAAGTTCTACAAATTCATCATTTGACAGTTGCAGATTTCCAAATGTATCTGAATTGGCGTTATCATCTGCCTTTAAAAAGCAATAAAAAGAAAAATAATCTAATTCAACGTGATCTTTATTATATTTAAGACAGGTATCACAGGAGTATATCTGCAAGGCTTTAATTAAAAGGTAACCACACACATACCTGATAAAAAAATGTTGTTGCAACTCGTCTTTACAATAATTTAGGGTGTTAATAATTTCATCATAAAATAAAATATAAGGTGTTCCATTTAAAAAACATACGTTTTAATTTGCCAGGCAAAAACGTGACACCCTGTATATCCAAAGATATTTTTAAAATATGTAGGTATTTTTTAAATCCATATAACTTTTATTTAAAACTTTTTTGCGTGTCTACAACAAAATAATGAACAATAACGCACTAATGGAACACCCTGTATAAATTATATTTTTAACAATGAAAATTTCTTATAATGTGATACTTATCGGTTTGGGTCCTTGGGAAAACTAAAGAATGTTTTCTTGCAGGTATAACCCTTATTAAAACAGCTTTTGACTGCACAAACAGAATGATGTCTTTTTTTTTCACTCATTCTACTCACAGCTAAAGAGTCACCAAAATAATAACAGTACCTTTAACTCAAAGAAAATCAACGAAATTATAGGCTCCACGAAATTATACAATCAACGAAATTATACGCAGGACTCAACACCTTACCTAAGTACGCTTCTGAACGCCAAAACCGTCTTTTCCCTCCGAAGGCGGAGCTTAAGCGATGCGCGACGAAATCGACGCAAACCGTTGCCGCCAAGAGAGTGTTTTAGCTGTATTGTATAAGCTGTGCTACTATCTTGTATTTATTTAAAATCAAATCTTTTGAAACATTTATTTGTTTTTAAATGTTATATTTATTGTTTGTAACTGTAAGTAAATACCTACGTACTTAAGATAATTTGATTTCATTTCCGATAAAATGATCTAATCCGAAAACAACAGGCGCGTGATTAACGGGATTCAGCTGTATAGAATACCTTATCTGTTCACTTGACTTTTATGTGACCATGTATTGTTAATTTGTGTAACATTGTTAGTACAATATGTAGAAGGCGTCAAGTTATTTATTTGTATTCCTTTTGTATTACAATGATACAATGATTAAGTAAATATATAGCGATATTAAAAAAATAACACTCAAATGTGTAAATATACCGGGTGTCCCACAACTTATTAGTCAGAGTACAGTTAGTTGACAAAACAGAAATGTGAACGCCAAAATTTAATGGTGTGATTTAGAATTTGCATCATATCCGTATCTAACGTCATATCAATGAATTACAATGATTTAGCATGAACTGAAGTTAGTTATTGAGTGAAAAGAGTAAAAGGAGTCCACATCCTGAACTCGACAATAGTCGTTAGTCACATTTAAATTGGACAGCTCTTAAAAATGGCGTAATTAAAAATGTTCATCTAGCTTTCCACTTCTGAATTTTAACATTATCAAAGTATGCCATATGTTCAAGGCTCAAAGGCATTTGATAATTCTGACGTTTTGATGAACTGTCAGTGTACAGTGAACAGTAACTAAATGTTTAATTTCGAATTTATGTGATTGTTAGTGCTGCAAAATGCCAGATACTTATTCAAATTTAGAATAAGAGAATTTTTATATGTAAATTTGTTTATTTGTTAATATGCTATAACTTGAAAACAAATGAAAATCGGATAAGAACGTATGAGTTTTTTTACATTATTTTAACGTGTATAATATACTCCTAGATTTTGGTACGCTCCTCCCGACTCACCCTGTATATGTGAGATTATGAGCAATAGTCTATTATAGACCTTTTCATCATGTGATGAGCGCAAGCGCAGCCACCATGTTGAAATAGCGGTAATTCAAAAGTTTCGTACTGTTTTGATCGACAATGGCTGGGAAAGCAATGTTATCTCTACAGAAAAATTAATCATTAGAAAAAATCGTTGATAGTGAATAACTTTTTATAACTCTGTGGAAGCGCATAGTTGTGAGCAGTTGAAAAGGAGGTTGAAGTGTCTTGGATGTTTGTTACAAAGGAACAAAGTGGACTAATTGAGAGGTTAGGTGTATCAATACTTTTTAACTCTGTAAAAAAGTAATGAAAACAAATAATAATTATAACTTTATTCTAATTAATTATGCCAACCAACTATTACTACTTGCAAAAACACTTTAATTAGCATGAAAGTTAATCACGAGTATAATTAATAAAATAAATTATTTATTATTTTGAGGATCAATATGACATTTTTAATCATTTAATGTGTATACCGAAGTAGTATTTAATATTAAAAAAATATTGTTTAATACCAGGTGAGAATTTTCTTCTGTTGGACCACTTTCTCCATGAAAATGCAGTGAAATATAAGTATCTTTAGTAACATCATTAATCCATCGAAAACCGTTGTCACTTCGACCATATTTTTTCACACTTAATGCACATTTCAAATATCTTTTAATATGGATTTTGCCTGATAATTGTTTACGATATTGCAGTTAAGGCTTTGGAAAATTTATAAAATAATATCTATTGCCTTTGAATAATTTATACCGTGTGTCACTTTTACATAACAACACTGTTTCGTTGTTCCTTTCCGTACAGATAACATAATTATAATTGATTGTGAAAATGTATTTTTCAATTAAGACACTAAACTTATTATTAGGTACTTTACTTTTTTCTTCCTTTTTTTAAATGAATATAGACTTAAATTAATATTTATCAATTATAATTTTTTTCACGTAAGCATTTTAACATACTTGTTTACAAAAACAGTACGAAAAAGATGGCTGAAACTGACGCATGCGCACAAAAAAAAATTGTGATGAAAAGGTCTATTTAATAATTTTTATAGATGGGGCAGGCCCTTTATTGTTCAAGTTGCAAAGTAGTTGTATATAGGAAATGTAATTTTGTCATTTGACATTTCCTATGGGAGTGAGCCCACTCCTAGTTACACATATGGTTGAGCTTTTCTTAATTTTTTTTTATTTGTTTTTAGTTTAAACATAAATGTTAGTTAGTTTATTCCTTTAATAATTTCGGGTATTTAAATTCCAGAACAGAAATGTTAACATAAATAATCAACTTTAGTACTTATCATTAGTATGTACATAATTATCGATAATTATAATTAGGTTTTATAAATTGAAAACAAATAAATTGATAAGCCTAACATACCAAAATATACACATCATTTTTAATAGAAGTATAGCATAGTTATGTAAGTACTTGATGTATTAAAGAATTTATATAATATATTTTTAAAATAGTAAGTAATAAAATATTTTTTAAATTAAACATGCATGAAAGTATTGATATATTGAATTAATTAATTCTAACTTCAGGTATTCAATTAGCGAATTGTGTAATGCCCACTTTGAATATAAGAAATCAATTAAACTTGTTTTTTTTCAGCATTTTTGGTGCATGTCATACATATTTTTTTAAATTCTTTTTTCTGCTTCTCTTCCAAAAAGTTGTAGACTGTAAAAATGAGCCAAACAAAGTTGACATTTGATAATTTTTATTATCTCATTTAAGTAATTTTAGGTATTAAAACAATGTATTCTGATAGTAAGTAGATATCATTAGTTAAATAACAGTTTACTAATATCAATTATATAAAATAAATCAAATTAGAGGTTAGGTGTCAATTTAATTTTTTTTTTTTTTTTTTTTTTTTTTTTTAATTTGGTTACTTTCAAGATTGTATTTATCTAAAGCAAAACCATTTCAATAATTATAATAAAAATAATTTAGTTACATACCTTTAAACTGCAAACAATATATTTAAAAAATTTAAAATTCACAATGTATTTGTCAAAATTAATGACAGAATGGTTTGTTTTTGTTTGACTCACTGACGTCACAGTATGCGGGGATGAATTTGCATGTACTGCTTTGATTTTTTGAATCCTGAATGGATTATATTGTGTGAACCTTTAATTTATAAAGCATTTTATAGCTAAATAAGTTTTTTGTGAAATAACTACTAATTTCTGTTGTAGCACTATAATGTATAAAGTGTGGTAAAATATTAATAATACTCTCTCCAATTCTCCCCCTTATGAGTTAATTTTAACCACAAAAACTGAGCTTGTCTGGGAAGGGACAGCTATTATTATTTAATGAATTTTGCAATGAATGTTATTTATGAATCTGTGTATTTTTGTACCAGTTAAAAAGCAACATTTATTTTTGTTGTTGCAGGGGTTATTTATTTATTTATTTTTTTAATTCTAAGACTATAGTATCATGAAAATGTTACCTATTTAATTAAACATTATAATTTTGTATTATTTCTTTATTTATGTTTGCATTATCAGATCCCTAAAACAATTAGTTTCAATTTAGGTTTGCCAGGGAGATCTTTTGTTATTTTGTGTTTGGTGTGAACCAACATTTTGAAATCAATAATCTTTTATTACCTAACTCAACTATTTTAACAGTGATATTGTTTAAGGTATGTTTGAGTATTCTAACAGTAAATGTTTGCCAAAAATTTTTATCACACAAATTCATTGGTAAAATATTCTATCTATTCTTTTTTTATCCAGACCATGGAATGCCAAATACCAAAGTTTGAACAAAAATAAAATAGGTACTCATTTTGAGTTGCTATCTGTTTATAATATATTTATCTTTTCCAGAACTATGCATCAAATAAATATGGATATGACTAAAACAGGATTGTTCCTCTAAAAAATTAAAATAGCGTGCAATAATTAAATTAAGATAGTAACATTTATTTTTAGATATACTAAACTGAAAAAAATTAAACCATTATGTGGAAAACTGGTAACACTACTCACATTAATGTTCGTGGAATGAGGGACAACATTTTTAAAAAGTCTTAGAGAAGCAACATAAAATAATTTCCTACTCGCACTCCCACGTACAGGAACTTCCACAAGCTCGAAGCACAGCAAACACTAGTAACACGAAACCGGATTGGCACAAGTTGTTCGATCGTTAGATTACATCACACAACACATTTGACTTTGACATATAAGTCCGTCCCTGACATTAACGTGACAGTAGCTGCCAAATTCTTCTTCGTTTTACCTGCTCATTGCAACAGCTAGGTGTGTATGCAGGTATTTACCTGGCTGAAAAGAGTTGAGCTGAATTGTTCGGTTGGTACAAGTCCTACGAAACGATTATCCTCGATTCTCGTATTCGATTTAAAATTTTGTCAACAGATATTTCGTACGATTGGATTTTTGAGCCGGTATATAATGGTTTTTGCATTGATATCAAGATAAAATAAAGGTAAAGTAGAGTACAAATAATTTTGCAAAAAATATAGATTATGTGCTTGGGTACTGGGTGTATTTCAAAAATAATTCCCAACAATTTAAAATGGGAAAACAATTCAGGTAGTATTCCTTCTATTCTAAAGTGATACCGTAATATATCAGAAAGATAGGTTGAAAGAATAATTTTTTGTTACTTTCATTCCTAATTTTACTTTATTTATCTGAAAAATGAATGAATTTATGTTAGATGTCCATAATAGGTATTATAAAGTTTTATCTCAATGTGTTATTTTGTAATTAGACGAAAATAGGGGAAAAATAAACTACTTTCTTAAGAAAGTTACATTTATTTAAATATATTATCTATTATGTTTATAAATATTTTTATTCTATTATTAGGTACCTATTTATACTTATAGTTTAGGAATAGCATATTCTGTTGGAAAAGCGGGTATGTAATCTGTATTGTACATTTGAGCCTTCACAAATGCTTCTTTATCGATCGGTTCTGGAGTTACTGATGCATTTCCTAAAACAAATATATTTATTTTATTTCCCCTCAAGATAGTTATTTTGAATTTATGATTTCAATATAAAAAAATGGCCTTAGCTAAAAAGTTTATCTAAAAATTATTATCTGTAACAGTTAAAACATTACATATTTTTATTTCTTACAATAAACAGTGAAAACAAAATATTAACTGCAAATTTTGCTAAATATTACCTTTTTGATAGCTGTATTCAATGATTTTAGTGGCAATAATCACTGAACAGTTAACAATACTTTGAAGAGGTGGATATATACTTCCTTTTTCCAAATCATCTTCTGATACAAGACTAGCCAGTGCCTGAAAATGAAATACATAACTTGTATCTGTACTTGATATTTTTATCACGAAATATTTTTGTAACAAATAGGACTAGAAAAATAATGTAAAGAAATTAACAACTAAGTTAAATAATAATGGTCTAACTTTAAATCATCGAGACTTGTATCTAAATTATTTCTTATATTTGATTGACACCTGGAGAAATTCTGTACTCATGAAGCAACAATTCTATTTTCATAAAATAATAGCTCCTGATTAGCATGAACAAGATGATTCCTTTTTGTTCCTTCAGTTCCAAGAATTTATACAAGGTTAGTTAGCAACACCTGACCTAATAATAATTGAATTCTTCATAATTTTTTATTTATTTTACTTGATAAGTAGTATACTATTTTTTTACGCTATTGCTAGGTACACGTTAAAGTGTACACAAATCAAAAAATTATACACATGCGAAACGTCATATTGCTGTGGTGGGAGGTGTTTGTGTGAATGCGTCTTGTTTGTTTTCATTTACGCCGTGACTAGCACAGTAGTATTTTATAAACCTTAGAAGCAAATTTCACATACATGAACAAATAATAATGCCGTGACAACAAGAAAACGAAGTAAAAACTTCTCGTAGGGTGGCGGCTTCGCCGCCACAAAAAAATTTTAATCCATACCTAACTACGACCGGCGTGAACACCAACGGCCTGCACACAGCTCACCTACTCTGTCAAGACGTTTCGCGTGTATATAAATTTTTGAATTGCGTACAAGTTAGCGCGTACCTAGACACTGATTTTTTTATCGTTAAACAATTTAAACATAAAAATTTCAGACAGTTATGTAATAATTAAATTACGTAAATTTATGAATACTATAAAGTCGATAAGATTCGTGTAGGTCAAGTTCATAGAATAATTGAACAGTGACATTTATTAAGATAATGTTTATGATTAAAAAAAAAAACAGTAAATACAAAACTAATAATTTGAAAATATCGGAAGAGGATACAAAACTTTAGCGCGGAAGAAAAATACATTTCGTTAAAGAAAATAAAGAAACTTACTTCTGCAGCCATTAAAAAGTGGTCTTCTCCAATGGTTTTAATACCAGCACATACAGCAGCTAATCCAACTCCAGGGAATATATAAGCATTGTTGCCTTGTCCAGGTACGAACGTTTGGCCATTAATTGTGACTGGATCAAACGGACTGCCACTTGCAAATATTGCAGTTCCCTAAAAATCATATTAGTTAAAAGATTGATAATTTTTATTGAACATACCATTTACTTAATAAATAAGCGCACATAATGCGAAAAATACATAAAGAAGTTCTTATAATGACAAGCTAAGATACGCCCGTATTATTCGTTTTAATGAGGACGGCTGTTTAGAAGGTACATCCCAAAAGTAGATGTTTTACCGGTCACATATGACCCCATGGCGTTACTGAAGTAATTAAATGCCGGTCATGCCGATCACCGGTCATCGGTAACCCCCAATACTAATCAAATACTTTTATTGAAGAATTCGGATTCAATGGAGAAATAGAAGAAAGATAATGTACTTACGTTCGTTATCCTGTATGCTTGTTCAGCAGTACATTCTGCTTTATGTGTCGGATTACTCAAAGCGAAAATAACCGGCCTTTTGTTATTTTTAGCCATTTCTTGTATAATTTCCTCCGTGAAAGCACCACCGACGGCAGCGGCACCGATCAGAATTGACGGCTTTATGGTTTTCACGACCTCAGTCAACGTTTTAATTGGCGCACGGTTATGCGCATAGTGGGTCTTGTGACCACTTATTCCTCCTTCTGGTCTGTCTTTAACGATCAACCCTTTCGAGTCAACCATCCAAATTTTTTCTCTAGCAGCTTCTTCAGTCGTCCCTTCGGCCATCATAGCCATCGTGCAGAGTTGCGCGATTCCCAAATTAGCTTCACCAGCTCCTTGGAATACGATCACGTTATCAGAGAGCCTGTTTTTGGTTATCCGCAACGATGCTAAAAGTCCGGCTACGGCGACGCTGGCAGTTCCCTGGATGTCATCGTTGAACGTGCAATAATTATGCCTGTATTTCTCCAGCAGTCTAAATGCATTCTGATTTCCAAAATCTTCGAATTGAACCAGAGTATTTTGACCGAATCTTCTTACGACCGATTCCATAAATTCTTCTATTAGGTCATCGTATTCCTGTCCTCTAACACGGTTCTGTCTTAAACCTATGTAAAGAGGATCTTTTAAATGAGTTTCATTGTTCGTTCCCACGTCGATGGTGATGGGAAGACATTGATGGGGTTTGATGCCGGCGAGAGCGACATAGAGAGACAGTTTTCCTATTGGAATGCCCATACCGCATGTCCCTTGGTCTCCAAGTCCCAGAATTCGTTCTCCATCTGTTACCACTATTACGCGGACGTCGCTTTCCGGCCTGAAAAAAGATTCAAATTAAAAGATTAGCTACGCTATGTGGATGATCTGGTAATCATAATTAGGGGAAAATATAAGGGTTATATACAAGCCCGAATACGATCAACAGATTGAACACCTAAAACAAAACACTCGATTATCTCTCTGGACTCTTATAACTATAATTTAGGAATGTGCCACAATAGATGCATCGGAAGACGATGTGATCATCCGCTCATTTTCAACCTTAAGTAGTGTAGAGGTTTGTTGCATTTTTTAGCCGCTTCTAGTAGGGACAAACGCATGTCAACAATGAATAACCTGAAGTGAAAGTTTTCAATATCACAGTAAGTTCATATTTTGTTTACGTTAAGAATACCTAACCTAATATATATTTTTTTTTAGAAAACAGGTTACCCGCCAAATCCCTTAAAATGATGCATTAAGGATAAAGGATATTGCTTTTGTAAACAAATCAACTTTGTGCGTTTGGTTGTCACATTAGTCGAGTTATTTTAACTTCAAAAGACATTCTTAATACTCACCAATTTTTTAAAACTTCATAAACGTGTCCTTTATCATATATGGTAATGTAAAGACCTCTAGGTCTTCTGTATACCAATCCAAAATTTTGGCAAGCCAGTCCCACTATTGGTGTGTACACTATAGGCATAATATCTTGTACGTATTTACGAGCAAAAGCGTAGAATAGTTTTTCATTACGGTCCTAAAAATAATTTTCTTTAGAAAAAATCAAATTAATATGATTTGAAAGTTATACCATGAATAAAATCAGAAATCTATCACTACAATGTAGAAGTTAATAGATATTTTTTAATTTTTTTTTTAATTCATGCCCAACCCCTTTATTGTGCGTTCTAGTTCATTATTTGTCAACGTTATTCAGTGATGACGGTAATGACACCAATAAAACTCATTATTTGTATGCCAATACCAATAAAATGTTTCTGTCTTTAGATAATTACAATTATTAGAATTAAATGAATTTTAGATTGTTCCGTGAAGTGATACTTACGAGTAGTCCCATTAAAAATAAATATTTGTTTAGGGCATCGTCTAATCTGTCTAAACATGTTTTACAATGTTCAATTTGTTCCTGTTGTGTCTTAACTACAGGTGGTAGTAATCCATGGATACCAAGTCTCTGACGTTCTTCAAAAGAAAATGCCAATCCCTGTAATTAAAAAATAAAACTAAATTACCTATAAAGCTTTCTACAATTCGTTAAATTTTGTTTTATGCAAAAGTGTATTGATTTTAAAGGGAATATTTTCAGCAGCAATAAAATAATTTGTGTTTTGAGAAAGTATGGGGAAATTCTTTCATCATAAATCAAATCACGACTGGTGAAGGGACTGCCTAGTAGAGCTGGCAGTGCTAAGTAGTCAAAATAAGGTGACTCTAGCCTGAAGCCGATGAATTAGCCCGAGAAGTCCCAGATAAGGCCATGCCAGGCCTCGAACCTTTCTGTGGAGTTGCTAAGGCATCCGTCACAATGGATGCAAAAAGAGTACCAGGAATAGTGGAGCAACTATCCAAGATTGAGATAGACCAAACAGTTCGTTAAGGAACGAAAACCCTGGATCAAAAACGTCAAATCGTCGCCTAAGAAGGTGCATGAGTGTCATCAATACAGCAGAGAAAGTAACATACATTGTGCAGGTTCTTTAAAGAAGAAAACGAAACATCAATCCACGTCTTGAGCCAGTGTGACGGTTAGGTTTCTAACATTAGGCAAAGAAAAGTCAGGCGCATGGAACTGCATGCGGGGGTCACTGTCAAAGCTACTAATTTCCACAAGAGATCTGAAAAGGTCGCGGTGGACAAAGACAAATAATGTTCAACTACCTTCAAATCTAATCTAATTTGCTAATAAATCAAATATGGAGACTAAAAAATTCAGTCTGCTGAATGGCACCTAAAAACCAATAAAATAGTGAAGTGAAACAATTATAAGATACATAAAGGCACAGCATCAAAGTGAGTTGGACATGTCATAAGGATAAATCTGAGATCAATTTTTAAAAAGAATAACAATGGATTCCACTATGGTCAAGAAAAAGGCGAAGATCGAGAAAAGATGGTTAGAATACAGAAGATGAAACAAGAATACTAGGAATAACAAATTTGGAAATTGAAACGTAAAAATAGGGAGGAATAGAGAAAAATACTGTACGAAGAAAGGACCCACCAACATTTGTGACACGCATAAGGAAAAGAAGAATAATCCACCTCATCAAATGGATTTTAAACTCATTATGCCGTAATGTAAAGATTGAACGGCTAGAGGCTGGATGATGCTGATGTACTTTACGACACAAAAAGTAATATTTCTTGAATTAATAAAAAAAAACATCAAAAAGTACGTTTTAATAAACGAGTCATAGGTTAAATTAATTTGTGATTTACAAAACGAAAAAATTCAATTTAAAACTTCAACAAAGCTTCTATAAATAAAGTGTATTGTGTTAGTTTCCCGTAATTTATAGACGTCTTCAAGCAACAACTGAGGTAAACCAAACAAATTTTAATATCAATAAACACAAAAATCCTCAAAAGAGTTTCCCAATTAGTTTTTTAAATATTATTTTGACCTTTTATTGTTTTGGGCTTTGTTTCATTCTAGGGAACATTAAATTTCTATTATTAAGCATTATTACCAGGCGTTCTAGGTATAATTATTTTTTTATATAATTTGAACGGATTGCAAAATTCCTATAATTAAGAGATTAACTAATACCATCAATTATTTTAAATTCATGTTTAATATGATTACATTTTGTTCGTTAATTTTAATGCTAATCCTCAAGGTAGAGTGTGGCGTATATAAAATTATGAAAATTGTTGGTTAATAATGGTTAGTAATTTTTGTGGTTGGAAAATCCTATCGATAAGAATATAAAACATTTATTGAGATTTAAAATTATTCTGATATCTTTGGAATTGTCTCTGGATGTCATTGACTTATTATTTATTAAGGATGTTCGATTCAATACAAAGGAAATAACCCAGACAGTCATATTTATGGATATAAAACCGCAAAAATACCACTTTAGAAATAGACTTTTGTCATAGAATCGCAACAAATGTTTCCATTCCAATAAAGGTTAGAATAAAGAGGTTTTGTGCGGAATATTTAAGAACGTGTATAGAAACATATGAAAAATTAATTCGACTTCAATTTGATTGCAAATACCTATACCTTGAAACAAAAAAAGTTAATAGATGTGAAACATGCAATGACATTCATTTTGACGTAAAAAAATAAAAAAAATGGTATTATTATTTTTAATATCTAATTAAATTAACTTCCTTTTAAATATGTAATTTTAATAAGTACCTATTTAAAAGAAAAAACCTCGACAACCATTAATTAATTCTTTGTTTCACATATTACGAAACAATGATTACAGGTTTTTATATTAGGTCAGATTGAAACTAATATTTAACAACGTCCTGGTATGTATTTACTCTGGTTTTTATCACTACAAGAATGATATAACGGAATAAAAAAAAAACTGATGTCATTTATTTAATAAAATTACGGGGCCAGAGGAAGATTTTACCCACTTTTTACGCAATAAAAAACACCTATGATATGTCATTACTTAATTACATTGCGGGGTTAGAGGAAGAGGTTCTTTTATACACGTTTAACCGGTCATACTTCAATATCTATCGATTATAGCCATTACAATATTATTAAACTCAATTCTGCTGTCTCCGAGCTTCAGTTAGCCTCTGGGAACGAGCAAAAGTAACATGGGGCAAGATCAGGAGAATAGAAAGGGCGTACCCTTATTATTTGATACATTTTAGCTTTAATTTGAGCTCTTTGATAACCAGAGTGCAACTCATCGCCCAATTTATTGTACCACTCGAAACAATATACTACCGAGACAAAAAAATCGTCCGGATATTATTTTTAAATGAACACAAAATTGATAAACGATAGCAGATTCTATAATTAATTTATAAAAACAGACAAAAGCTAAAGAAGAGCTAATTTGAATAGAAGTATAATGAGAATAAGCATACAATGGGAGGTGGTACAAGGGATAACACCGCTTTTGCCATATTGGTATGAAATTTGGAGATTTGTATTAAGTATCGTGACTCATTAAAAACTATAATATACTAAAAATTTAATTAAAATAATGGTAAGTTGGATAATACTTAGTTGTTCCAGAGTCTATGGTTTAGATAAGAAGAAATCTTTACATGTGCGTACCTAGAATACTGGGATTGCTACCTCGTTACAAAATATCTAACTGATGGGCTTAAAAATGTTTAAATACATTACTGTTCCTATACTGCTAATTTGCAATAGACTCCGCCTTGTGGTGCCCTTATTACGACGATAAACCTGTATGACATTGCCATCCCTTTTGATATCCCTGGCATAAACCATTTTGAAAAGTTTAAAATTCTGCACAACAAAAAGATTACAAAACCAATCTGGGTATTTTCCGAGAACATTTATAATAATAAAAGAATTCGTTTACGATAACTTTCCATTTATAAAGGCTATGTTAACAGTAATTTATTTTTAAATTGCCAGGTGTTGTCGAAATCTGACACTAGCCATTTTAATCACAAGGTTTCGATTGTTTTGCTGATAAAATGTAACAATGGTAATATACCTAAGGCAAGATTGTTTTTAGCTAATTCAACTTTATTTGTTTTGCAATCAATGATAATTAAAACAATGTTTCGGAAAGATTATGAAATAGTTCATTATATAACAAGATACTAAAGTGTACCTTTTAATGTCGAGGGTGAATATTTCACTTTTTGGTTTGTTTATTAATGGAATTATGTTCAAAAACTTAAAAGTCATATATTTTCTATAGGTACATCGATCCTAAGCCCTTTGAACCGTTTAAAATTACAATAAATTTGTAAACAATCCATCAGACTGAATATTAAAATTTTCTTTCTTAATATTTATACTAGATAACACTATTAAACAAAATTATATAGACGTTTGAAAGACAAAGATCATGAAATCGGACACAAGGTCAAGATAAAGTATTCATTAAAAATGAGTGTTAAGGTTACCCGCCGACTGTATCAGAGGAAAAGTTCAATTACTCTAATAAAATTAAAACCATTAATTCGATAACTAATTGTTATTGGTGAATGCTGAATGCTGAACAGATTTTATTCGATCTAGTTTTTATTGAAAATAGATATCGGGTGTTCCACTTAATTTTACGGAGTTTTACAGGTATAAGGATGGTTCCAAAACATTAAAGTGTTGGGCTCTTACGTAATTAGCTCAAAAATGCTCTAAAGATGTCTAGAAAAACTAAATTAGCAAGGCGAGGAAAATACAATTACTCTCAGAGTTGGGTCCCGAGATATAACGGGATAAAGAGTAACAAGTCTGCAGATAGTGATAGTCTCGCAAGGAAAGGGGTTCAAACACCCTGAGCCGTTCTTCGGTATCAGCAGTAAGACAATTTTGGAAGAGATTAAGAAAGAGTTGGGCAGTAGAAGAACCAATAATTGGAATGATCTCTTGGGGCGAAGGAAGGCTAAGATACTTCAAAAAAGATCGTATTGTAACAAGGATCCTTACCAGGCATTGTAGATTCAAAGGACACCTTAGTAAACTGCGATCAGTAGGTACATATTCTGCGAGGAGGAGACAAAACCTCCATTCTCAGTCTGACTGAATGTGTAACATTCCAAAATCCAAGGGCACTATACCAAATAGAAGAAAGCGATCTACCTAACTTGAAGCCACTCCATATTTTACAGTTCCTTAAGAAGATATGATTGAAAGAGTCGTCATAGACATCGAGACATTATCTTGCTGTATTAGCAACATAAGGGATACAGTTTGTCAAAGGTCTTAACAGAACTGGAAATTGTTTTCTATTTCTATCAAAAAATTCCCGAAACTGAGTGTAGAAAATAGGTGAGAAGATGAGCGCGTGCGGCCCAAGCGGTGCACAGACCGTCCCGAAGCGACTCAGCTAAGAGATGAATATGATCTGGCGAGCTTTTGTAAAGTCTTCCTCTGCTCCGCTCTGGATTTATTCTCAGCTATGAAATGAGATTAAGATATATTCTCGCGTTATGTATACTATTTAATAATTAAAATTAATTAGATAATCTATACAATTTATTTTACGTATATTTTAGAATGTATGTTAATTACTATGAAATTAAGATGAGATATACTGATTTCAACGTTGTTTACTTCTTATTGAATAACCCTGATGTTAAAAAATATAAATCTGGTATAATCAATGCATCCTCTGACACAGTTGTGTGTAAAGTTATATAATAAACTGCCTGATACATATAAAAAGGTTATCAAACATTCACTTATTTAAATGGGATGACTTGCTAATTAATTTGAATCATATACGGTAAAGGAATATTCAATATGATTACTTTTTATGACGTTTTTTTATTTAAAAATTATTTTACTACATACAATATAATATGTATTATGATTGTTCCTCAAATAAATGTGTTATTATTATTATTATTGTGTTGTTATGATAGATATAGATAATTTGTTCCCAACCACGGGTGATAAATTCGTAATAACTTACTTTCAGACTTTTAAAAAGTTTGGAATGAAATTATTAGATAAAAAATATGATTGTGAATAAAATAATTTACATTTACATGAATCAAGCTGGATGACGTCTGCAGATACATTTTTTGTGTGGGATCAATTTGTACATTCAAGAAAATGGGAGCTACATTGAACAATTTTTATGAATTTTATTAATGCATGACTAGTTATTATTATTAAACTTCGCATTACATTTTAAACCATATTATTTTTTTGTGGAATTACCAAAAATTACAAAGATACATTCTACACATGACTTAAAAATTACAAAAATAGATCACAGTTCACTCTATACAACAAATTATATTTTTGTTTTTTTTTTTAAACAGTCTCCTTATACCTAATTAAAGTTGGGATAAATCATCTAATTTTTATCCCAGCAACCTACAGGTATAGCGAAAAATATTAATTTTCTGCTGAATAATTGACAGTCAAATATTAATACTTACTGCGATACAGGGTTCTTAAATTATACAAATACTTCAGTACATAATCTTGTCGTTTTTTTGACGTGAGAAAATCGAATAAGCTATAATTTTTGGTGGGCCACCCTAATATTTTTTTTTTTTATTTATGGAGCGATTTTGACGATTTTTTTTTAATGTGGAAGGGAGAAAGGTGTATTTTGGAGCCAAGCTGCATCCAGTTTTTTTAAAAACCAAGGCCTAGATTACATTCGGAGGCTGAAAAATCCAGAATCCATATTAGCGATTTTTTTAGAAAAAATTAGCGTACCCCACTGGAATCGGCGTCTTCTGAAATAGATCTGTACCAAATTTTAGGAAAAAAAAAAAGATTAACGATTCTATGACAAAATTACTGTTTATTATGCATTAAGAAGCTTTTTATCTAGTAACCCATGCGATAACAAAAATTAATAAATAAGCCTTGGTTTGTAAAAAAATGACACCGTTTGGCTCCAAAATGCACCTTTCCCCTCTACATTTAAAAAAAAATCGTCAAAATCGCTCAACAAATAAAAAAATGAGGGTGGCCCGCTTTCAAATGGGTCACTCTGTATATAGGGCGCTACTTATTTTACCTATATTGATTTAATAGAACCCGTATTAATATTTAACCCCCAGTTATTAAGGTATAATACAAACCCATTCATTATTAATCATTCTATGTAGGTAAAAGATATTTTAAATGTGAAAGTTAACATTTTAAAAATAGAGAAATACGTAATTAACCATTTTTTTGATCATAAAAACAAAAAGAAAACCTCAAAGACTACAGAAACGTCGTACGATTATTTCTCTTGAAAACTACTCCTTTAGCTAATACCTCCGCAAGAGGCATTGCATTCAGCCAACAAATGACAGAATAATATTGATATGTCCATAATTCTCTTCTCGCTTTTTACTTTCCTATCTGTATACAGATATAAGGAAAGTATAGGAATCATGATTTTTTTCGACCTCGAGTTTTCGACGGATTTTTACGTTTTGAGGTCCCCTGAATCCGTTTTGACTATTTTCGCGATGATGTCTGTGTGTGTGTGTGTGTCTGTGTGTCTGTGTGTGTGTGTGTGTGTGTCTGTATAACGCATAACTCATGAACCGATACACAGAAAAACACCAAATTTTAAACTTAAGCTTTGTTTCAGCGTCCAATGAGCTGATTAGATTTTGGGCAGTGTCGGAACATCTGGGGGGGTACTTTATAGGTGGTCATTTTTATATTTTATGGAATATATCTGTTATTTACGTTTGGAGAAGAAAATTCTTCAAATAAAAGTTACTTCTAATATAATTATCTATAATTTTTGTTTTATGCAAAATTTTCCTAAAATGGTCCGTATTTGAGAAATTTGACAAAATGTAAAAAACATAATTTTTTATAAAAATTGTTCAAATAAAAGTTGTTTATAATATAATTCTCTATAATTTTTGTCCTATACATAATTTCTCTAAAATGGACCGTATTCGAGATATTTGAGAAAATGTGTAAATTTCGAAATTTGAAGAAAACTCAAAAACGGATAAAGGAAAAAACATTAAATTTTAAACTTAAGGTTTATTTCGGCCTGACGTGAAATGATTAGATTTTGGACAAAGTTGGAACATCTGGGGGGGTACTTTATGGGAGGCCGTTTTTATATTTTATGGAATATATCTGTTATTTATGTTTGGAGAAGAAAATTGTTCAAATAAAAGTTACTTCTATTATTATCTATAATTTTTGTTTTATGTCAAAATTTCCTGAAATGGTCCGTATTCGAGAAATTTGACAAAATGTGCAAAATTCTGATTTTTATGAAAATTGTTGAACTAAAAGTTGTTTGCGATATCGATTTCTATAATTTTTGTTTATACATGATTTTTCTAAAATGGTCCGTAATGGAAAAGTGCTAAATTTAAATTTTTCTGTATTTTCGTTTTCAATGAATATCTATAGAAAAATGTTTCGAGGTAGATGTATGTGTAAAATGTATATATTTAGTTTATCCTCTAAACATTTATAGAGATGCTGCAATAGGTTGTACAAAATAACCGGAAAATGCCTATAATAACTAGATAGGAAAGTCATGTGTTGGACACATCAGATTTTTAAATATAAAATTGTTACACGTTAATATATAATTGTTGGTTATTTTAACTTAATTTTATTCATATTTTGTTATATATTTACTTTTTATTAATATTAGGTACCTATATATTTTTAATTTCTTTGTTTGTATAGCATTGGGTTTAAAACTTGTTTGTAATGTCAATTGTTTTATATTTTTTATGAAACTTTGTTATACAAATCAATAATGTCAAAAGGAAAACAGTAGAAATAGAAAATATTTTTCCACACTTACTTAGATTTTTTTAACAATTAATTGAGGGAGGTGAAAACTCGGAATATTTGTTTCCAATAAACAATTTAAATAATATATTTCAGGCGAGCAAAGCCGCGCGCTAAAACTTAGTTTTTGATAAAGACACAGCAAATCTGAATATGAAAATAAATAATAATAAATTTTAATTAATTGATTATCTTTTTGCGAAGCATGACATGAAAAATCGGTAGAACGTAATAACACGGATCTGAATACATTACTCACCTTGTTTACACCCGGTAGTCTCATTCTGTCCAAACCGGAGATATTTCCTGGAACAACACTGTCTCCATTTCCCCACATACCTACACGATCTCTATCCATGGTTGCGGTAATTTCTGGTTTACCTGGTTGCTGGTTCGAGCTACTGAAAACAGAACGCAACTTTTGTAATGGACTGATGAATAAATACACGGTAACACGGTATCGGTATGGTATAAGTGTGAGACCTGCGCAACACTAGCGATCAGCTGATGACGCGACGGTGTATAGAGGCGTGAGCGCACAGACGCAGAGCGTCCTTCTACGTCACCCTAACATTAACATTCTACAAGGTGAAGTAAAGTACAAATATCATACATAGCGGCCAGAGTTCATTTATCGCACAATTTAAAATAACACGATTTTTTTTGGTAGGTCAGTATGGACAAAGTTAAATATAAACATTTACGAGATGTAACTGATTTTTAAATTATTTGTTCTAGGTATATACGAGGATAGATTAGAAAATTTCTAGAACAAGTCGGCAAATTGTATTAAATAAATATAACAAAAAAATGGATGAAAGCAAAGGTACACCAGAAAGCGATTTTAGTATAGAATGTTTCCAAAATTATTCTGCCCCGGAAGTTTTTATTCAAGGCCTTGCAGGAATAGTTGATCAGCAAGATGTTGAACTAATGATTAGGGCCCAAAAACAAATGTTGCAAAGATTTGAGAAAACCAACGAAATGCTTACAAACTGCAATGCGTTAAGTGCTTCTAGGCTCAAAAGTGTGGGACCTGAATTCAAAAAACATGTTCAGCTTTTGTTAGAGACAAAAAAAGATTTAGACTATGTATTTAAGAAAATTAGAGTGATAAAAACAAAGTTATCAGCACAATATCCTGAAGCTTTTGCCGAAGCAGTGAGAAGTAGCTTTGCTGAAGAGTGTGAAGAGGAAGAAAACTCTGAAAAAAGTAAACAGAAGAATGAAGAAAACAGAAGAAGTTTACACATAAAAAGTGATGAAGTAGGGAGTGTTGAATCTAGTAGGAGAGCTTCTAAATAGTTATATAATATTTTTAGTCGCAACTCTTTTCAAGACCTTTCAATCCTTCAAAAAAAAAAGAACTGTAATAAAAATAATCCACTTCATTTTATTAAACAATACAATTATGTTTAAAAATTTAGATTGTAATATAATATATTATCAGATAGAACAAGTTCGTTTTTGCTCGTTTACCAATCAATACTGAATAGTTTAGGGTTCCTTACCCTAATGATATATTCGTAACATCCTATCGATTCTGTGAAAATATCCTATAAATGAAGTGTTAAGTGTGTTTAGTATCGTATAACAAGGCCTCGCCATCATATTTTTTACAGAACTGTTAAAAACCTTAGAAATACCCATTTACATCTTCCATCTATGGGAATTTCTTTCGAGCCAACCATTTCTTGAGATTTTGAAAACCCGTCGTTTTAATGAAATGCCTACTTCCTCTCTATCTCTCTCAACTTTATTCGAATATTATTCATCACTATTTCACTGATTTTTTCAATTATTTCTTTATCGATAGCTCTATTTGACCTGACAGAACGTGATGCATTCTCTACGTTGTTCTACCGCTTTTAAACACAGCAACCCAGTTTGCAACTGCTGCATACGAAGAAGAAGAATCACAATGAACTTCATCTAACTCCGTTTTTAATTATTAGCATTTAAACCTTTCAAAAATAAATGTTTTATCACCGCATGAAACATGTTTTAATTCATGATTAACCAAATCCACGAATTGTAAAGGGCATGGGCGTCGCCACACGAGAGCAAGAGGGGCGTCTGCCTCCCTGGGTTTGTTATTTTGTATTTTTTCGCCATAGCTTTCGACTATAACCTGTGGCGTTTAGACTCTGGTAACGGTATGTTTATGCACAATCTCTTTAAAATTTGACATTAATTCATTCTAGACACGTTTCGATTTAACCCATAAATTATAGAAGGTATTCAACCGATTCATTCTCTGTGGGATCATTCAAAGTTGTTGTAATTAAGGTCACCTAATTTTAATTAAAAATTAGCGTTTCAGTGAAGAATAGATAAATAATGGAAGTCGACAATATATTTGACTATATTTACAAAGCAACTGTAAATTTAATTAAAATTATCTAAAACCAATTAAATTATCAATGTTAGCAAACTTATACTACATGGCAGTGATTAATTCCCGTGCAAAAAGTACGGGGCGAAGCATAATTAAATTATTTTTTCAAGTTTTAAATTCAAATCTCTGTGTTAATTATTTTCAAAATAGTTTTTACCTTAATATTATTAAAATTATGTAAATTTTCATTAGAATGTAGAAAAAATATACTTTACAACTCGATTGCATTGTCTGTAGCGCACGACGATTGAGCATCACGGCGTTGTGCTTATATCTACATGAACAGCAAGTACTGAATAAGGCCATAAAAGCCCTAATGGTATGCAGGAATATTACGGGGAAAAGTAGGGGTTATAACCCGAACACTTTGTGATGGATGTATATAACAATAGTGGGACCAATCATCACTTACGGAGCTGTATCTTGAAGTTATAGAACAAGTTTGGCTACTATAAGAGCTAGTATCTCAAAGGTACAAAGACTAGACTCTGTTTGCATTACCGGTACAACAAGAACTTCTCCTGCGGTCGCAATGGAGATGATCTTAAACTTCACACCTTTACATTTAATGCTAGAGAACGTGGCAAAATGGGAGAGATATAGAATGATCAGGCACGAAGTAATCATATGGAAGTCTATTGCCTCCAGGATCAAAGATACTTGGGATGTGCCCCAGGACGAAATGAGATACGTACAGTTTTATGAAAAACTCCAAAACCACAGATATGGGCTACAAGTAAGAAAAAAGAAAAGAATCAATCGTGTTTTCAACTGAAAGACATGAAATTCATTGGTACACGAAACGAATGGTTCCAAAATCACAGAAGGAACTGGAATAGGATTGTATGGGCCTAGAACTAAGTACTACGAAAATGTAGGTAAATACTTCCAGACCGAAATTTACGTCATTAAGAAGTGTATCCAATTCAACATCGAGAGAAACTATCACACACAAGAGATTATCACCATGTCCGATAACCAAGCTCACATTCTGACTGAATGTGTAGCACTCCAGAATCCAAGGGCACTGTACCTGGGAGCATACCGAATAGAAGATGGCGCTTTGTCCAACTTGGAGCCACTCCAAATCCTACATTTTCTTGGAAAAATAGGATTTGGGGGGTTGTTATAGACATCGAGGCTATTTCTTTACAGCCTTGGCAACAGAAAGGGGCACACTAGGTCTTTTATGTCGCAGTGTATTAATGCCCCTTAGTTAACTTTAAAATTATGTAGATATTCATTAGATGATCCGTATACTGTAACAACTCTATTGCATTATCTGTATCGCACTCAATATTGAACACCCATGCTCAAATTCGTCATCGTGCTATATGGCCATCATTTCATTCTTGTTACTATTCTAAATACCGCGACATTGGTAAATTTTTCTTTGATTTTTATGGAACCAGCATGTACAAAACAAGCATCTTTGTCGGTTGTAAGCAGGTAGGGTTAGATTTAGCCCAGAATACTGCGGCCTCTTGGGTCTATTGTATTTCCCTGCTTTCCCCGTATTCAGGTAATATCTTTGGAATAGTCCTGTGTCTTTGGTTAGTTTTAATAAGTTCGCTACCAAGAGTTCCTGGGGCATTCTTTCCGGTTCTAGGTCGAAAAGAATGGACGGTCGCTTTGTAAGAGCTTCGCATTCGAAGATCACATGGTATAATATTTCTTCCTCTTCCATGTAGAGTCTACACATTGTGTAATCCCATCATGAAGGTGTTTTAGCAAGCAGCGCCCCGTTAGTAATCCCACAATGGTGGATATCTGGGGCCTTGCAAGTTGTAGTAGCCATGCGTGGGTTTGATCCTCTTAGCATGGGGTTTCTGATTCTGTGCCCTCTTATGTGTTGCCAGTGAATTTGGTGTTTTGTGGTTATCCACCTGTTCACTGCCTATTGAGCAGAGGTTTTGCTTATCCCAAATGCAGGTTCGGGTCCTATTAATGGTAGATCTGACCCCTCTTTGGCGAGTTCATCAGCCTTTTCATTTCCTTGGATACCTTTGAGCCCTGGGTTGCCAGATCATTTAGTATTCCAGTATTCCAGACAAGCTTTGACTTGATTCTGTTTGAATCAAGAGCCTTTAAGGCTGCTCGGCTATCTGAGAGAATTAGGATGATTTGTTTTTTGTATTTCCTCCTTAAATTCCCTTGTTTTAGATCTATCCGTATACCAAACGAGACCTTATTTACCTCGAACCAGTTACAGTTGACCTGGAAGAGTCTCTTGAAGGTTAGAAGGGGTATCATGTGATCTGATCCCATGTTTAATATAGAATCATTTACTTCATGCATCAGTTTCATCTTCGATATCAGAATCTCATTCTATACCTCGTATACCTCCTATAGCACCCGTCGGCTGTGATATACTAAGCAGATAGTTGTTGGGCTTTGTAAGCGGCTTTTCTTTAAATTTGTCACCTTCCCAGTATTAACTGCGGTCCACACCGCGCTCTACTGCATATATTTTACTACAATAAATGCAGTAGATGAAGTCAAATAAAACAAAATAGTCAACCGCGTGATAACTTGAAAATGGCGCAGTCTGATCAAATAAAGGTGTAGTAAAGGAAGGTTATGCATTGTATAAATGTGGTACAATCCGTAAAGAAGTAAGTACAGGAACATACGCCGCGTTTAATTTTCTCTTAATAACGGCAGTGTTTAAATCTTAAAGCTAAAACCTTCTACTTTTAATATTTTTAAATCGGCCAGATTAAGCCTGATAGTATTCACAGTTCGGCTAGATTTATCATTAAATAGTGCGAGATCAAAATACGGAGGCTGTGAAACATCTTACTTTCTGTATAGTATTTTACCGCATGTTAATTAATAATAACCTTTCTACATATTTTGACTGAGTGTGTACTAGTGGGTTATTGTGTCAACCTGTGATTGTCCAAAATTTAAGTCATCCAATATATTTTGTTATCTTTACTGGTAAGATGCCCAGTCATCAGTCTTTTTATTATTCTTAACTGGTTCCTAGTCATATTTGATGCGTTAGCCGCCATTTTGACCGTTGTTGTAAATAGTAATGTATCACAATACTTTTACTTTATTTCGTTTTATTAAGCTTTTTGATAAATATCTCATGTCGTGTTAATTACTGACAAAATAATTAGCTTATTATCTATCTTGTAGACTTGTGCATAACTTTTATAAATCTTTTCAGCGATCAGTTTTTAATGTTTATGTATTTACTCACTTCTATTTAGATGCTTAAACACATGTTTAGGCTTTCTTTTAATGTACAAAATACAAACCAGTTATTTTTCACATAACACGTACAAGCCATAGATGACGTGTCAAAATATTGTAAAAATGTGACTTTTAAGAAGAAAATATTTTTGACACTTTTCGTAAAATGTTTGAATTCTTCTTTCTTTTCTGCTACTTCAAAGGCATCTTCACAGTTCCCCATAGTGATTACTGACTGCACTTTTATTAATATGAACTTGGATTTCGATTATTGTTTGATCGGAAGTATCTATGGAAATATCTAGATCATTATATATAATAATAAAAAAATAATTATTAATAATTGCTTTTAGATGTAAGTGTGATACGATTGGAATTATTGATATCGCGTTGAATGTTATCGTTATCATATTCAAAGTACCTACATACAGTTTCATGTTAATGTGTTGTGATGTCTGAACTTGAAAAATGTCTAATATTCTGATTAAGAAGGTTAACCATGTCTCAAATAAGGTACGTCCACTAAGGAAAAGAAAACTCGGAAGTCTTAACCCCAATAATTTTAATTAAAAGAAGGGACAAATAGTTTCGGTCATACATGACCATCATCAAGTATAAATGTGGTTATAATAGTGATAATAAATAAAAAAAAAATAAGTTTGGAACACAGTGGCGCCTAATAATACAAACTTCTTGATGTTCCAAACTTATTTTATTACTTGCTGCTGTTGTTATATACACATTAATGTCTGATGATAGTCATTTATGACCGAAACTTACCGAATAAAAAAAACCTCTGAAAAAATGAATCAATCCTTAGCATCAGCAACAAAATTCGCATTTAAAAAGATGCGACATTTATTGAATAATTAATATTAAACCATCAACAATTAACATAAAATCAGGTTTAATTTAAAATTACAATTGTTGATACACATCAGTGGTTTCCTACCTGTGGGTCGCGACCCCAAGGGAGTCCCATAGTGTTTTCTACGGGGTCACCATGTTATTTCACATGTAGGTTTTTAAAATTTATTCATTAAATTCTGCCCCTTACGAGATCAAAGGATATAAGTTCTCAAATACGAAATATTAAGATGAGTTTTGTAATAGTGCTCTTCTAACCACTACAAAAGATGAAGATATCACGGAAAAAATAAATAATTTCTACAGTGTCTATAGTTTGTCAATTGGAATTTCAAATAAAAGCGAAATAACGCTCCCCAAGCAATCTCTGTTTTTGTCAATCTTTAGTCTACTTTAGAAACATTTTTTGGATCACTCTTTACAATGGTACTATGTTTATATTCCACGAATCCCAGTGATTCACGTGTTCAAGGGTAAGTAAATCATTTTGAAGAATCGAAATATATTTCTTTATGCAATTATTATATACCTACTTATTCATTAGGTGATGTCATATTAAAAAAAAATTGTTATATACTTTGTACTAGAGATACTGGTACTTAATTATTTGTATTTTTCTTAAGAAAAATTAAGTATCACCTTAAAAAAAAGATGTACCTTGATTATCTGTTTAGAGGTCACATTGATTTTAAATTAGTTACAGGTATATTAAGGTGTTTTTAATTAGGAATTTTTTTTAAAATAATTAAGGTAAACGTGTTGAAAATTGGTAGTAAAGAATGGAAAATTTTGTAAAAGGTTAACAAACTAAAACCTATTTTTCCTTTAGAAGATACATACATTAACGTGTGATCAAAAAAATGTTTTACAGTCTATGACCGACAAAGACAAATGAAAGAAATTCAAACTTTCATTTGAATAAGAAAAAGAAATGTAAGCTCCGTCATACGCAAGTTTTTCTTTGACCTACTTTATATATTTGGCTATAGACCTTTAAACTTTACCAAATTTATTTTTATTTTTTGATTTAAGTACCTTTTACACATTGGGTCATATTAAAAAGGCCGAAGCAAATGCAGTTTTTTTAAATTTTTCCAAATTTTTGTTAAATTATCCCGGACTTCTAATGATTTTTCTAATTTTATACTTAAATCACTATCACAGTATTAATGTTTTTTATGTTATCACCTAAGAAAATACCTAAGTTACAAAATATCAAGTTTTTATTTGAATTTTCAGATCACTAAGACAACATTAAACTCTATGCGCGTTATGTTGACATAAATTATCTACATATATGTATATACAAAATATCAACTAACACAGATTAAAAAATATAGTTCAAATACACAAAAAAGTTCACTAACAAACTTAAAAAGGTAACCTGAAATACGCCTTTCGAGCGATATTCATCCCTCTCTGGCTGTATCATATTACCCTTCGGGCGCTGGCATCTGTTTTGCCGGTGTCTCTAAATTGTTTTCCTGTAGACCTCTTTAAAAATTTTATAATTTAACTCTAGTTTATCTTAGTTAATATTAGTGTTTGCATTTTCAAATATTTCTCAATGATTTAGAGACTCAAACAAATAATTTAGCAACTTCGGTATACCTTATTCAGCTACCACAGTAGCTGATCTAATAATGGAGATGTTAAGTGGTGTGCATGAAAATGAATTAATACAAACTTCGCAACCGATCGCATTAAAAATAACTAGATACCAAATACTTTTCCCATAAGTATTTTGGTACAACTTTGAAAAATAAATATATTATTATTATAGCGCTAACCTGACAAGACCATGAATCAAAAATAGCTATTGATAAGAAGTTACTTACTCTAATAAATACTATTATGCCACAATAATTTAACGACTCACAATACAAAGGAATTTGTATAAAACACTCACCACTCTGTTGGCTTATTTTTCACAAAACCGGAAAAGTATTCAAAAACTTTAGAGCCCATCGACTTACGTATCGTTTTCACTGGCTTATTCACACTTTTTAAAGTTAATTTAGTTAACATCGTATTTATATCCAAATTTATGATCATGTACTAAAGAGTGCACAAAGATAACATTATTAAATAACAATAATAATGTGCATGAACACTAACAGAAAAATCAATCTGATCCAAATGTTATAAACATAACTGGAGTTCGAAGCTAGAAATAGAAACATTGTTAGGCATTTTATTGTTACCTAAATATTTATTTCATAATATATTTTTAAATGACGGAAAAATTTGGAATATATATAGTGTGTCCAAAAATTATTTCGAGAAATTGCTGCCTGTTGACATTGTAGTGATTTAAGCCACTTTTGTAACATTTTATGTTTATTGAATTTAATATTTATGATTATAAACCTGACATGCAGTTTTAACCATTTGAAATGTTCTTGGTATACGCTATTTTAGTAATGACGTAATTTGTGTTCCAATGACAAAAATAGAGGTTACAGGTATTCATTAATATTTAATTTTTATTATTTTCAAGATTGTATTTATTTAAACTATTTGTTTACGACTTTTAAACAATATTAAAAAAAAAACTAAATTCATGACAGAATGATTTGTCAGTGAAACACAAATTACGTCCCTCTAATATATTATATTGGAATTTTTTCCAACCGATCACAAAATTTAATTTGACAGCATCAATAATGACTTTATAAGAACTGAACTGTCAAAAGCTGTCTTGGATATAAGTCATCCATAAACTATTTTGAAAAGTTTACATAATAAAAATTATGTAACCTGTACCAATATCGTTATTTTTCTATATATTCTCGTGATCCACAAAAATGTTTCTAAAGTAAGAATTGGAAAAATTCACGCATGTCGTAGCGATCCATTCTTCTTGTATAAGTGTCAATTTGGAATTAATTCTGAATCGTGACACGGTTGTTAACTCATGACCTACTTTAGAAATATTTTTTGTGGATTACTTTTTATATTCTTACATACCTACATTTATACGAACCTATATATCTTATTTTTTTCAAAATCGTCCATATTGCCGCAACAAATTTTTGCTACACTTGCAGTAATTCCCATAATATGAACCAACAAACTTTTTAAATAAGCATATATAAAAGTACCGGAATTTTAACTACACATTAAATAATAATTGTAAAAACTTACTCGGTTGAGGATTTATAAACGAATGGTTTGGTGTTATGGACAGTTGGTTCTCGTCTTCAACTTTGTTAATAATTAAGTTTTTTTATCGATTTCATAATAAACAGACAATGAAAATAAGCTAGTCACTGATTGGATAAAAATCGATATACATGTTATAATAATAAAGGATCTATGAAAACTTGCTGAATGATACAGGATGTTTTATAGGGTCATTTAGTATATTTTTTTTTTTCAATATATGGTAAGCATGTTTTTCTTTTATTGATAAAAATAAAACGTGGCTTCACAACCTGTATATTAGAAATTTTAAAATATTAGGAATCTGGACAACATACACTTTGAAAATACAAATTTTCCTTCACCTTTTGACATTAACATTTATAGTACGTTCTAGACAGACAGTCATTGATATGGAGTGAAACAATAAACACTTTATGTAAAACAATTAAATGTATATGGTGGATTATGCACGATTCTATATTAGTGTATACATTTAGACGTAATTGAAAAAAGTTTATTGCATGTTCTATTAAATGAATTAAATCGTTAAACCAAACCGTGCTCTTGTTTATATAGCTATAACATTATATACATTTTAATTATACCTGTTTAGCTGTTACAATAAAATAGCGCAACGGCTAACAGTAACTCGTTTAATAAAACACGCAATTGCTCACTGCATAAGTCCTTACAGTATGGCCCAAACAAAAAGAATACATGCATTATTTCGTAATTCGTTTAAGAAAAAATCCTGAAACCCGTCGATTTTTATTGTCAAACACGCGTTATGTCAAATATTCCTTTCATTCGTGACGTCATCTGTGTGAACGTGATGACGTCTCGATTATTTTTAAAACGAAAATGTCCATGCCACACCCTTCGAGCATATATTACTATAGAGCCATCGTCCAAATGGACTTTGTTTTGGTACAGGGGGTAAAAATAGTGTCCAGCATTCCCATTGGTCTGTTTCGTTTTGCTTGGCATGTCAAATCGTTCAAAATTGACAGAAATGTCATTTGATTTTTGATTTTCAATAATTTCTAGCTTATTTTTGTAGTTTATAATTGATTTTTTTGTATTTTATTAATTTACTGATACAAATTTTAACAATGGTGAGAGTTTGTGTAAGTTGTAAATAGAAATAAGAAAAGGCATCGTCAAGGGCATTTCACAAGTAAGTAACCATTAGCGTCTCTACCATTTTTTTAAAAGAAACATAGTACCTACATTTTATGCAAAAGGCCGTTAAACATGAATTTAAAATAAATGGCAAATTTAGTGTATTAATTTTAAAGAACTTGTATTATGTATGAGGAATATTGTTTTTGATTTTGGACTCTACTGAAAAGTTTAAAAAAATCATAATATTTTAATATAAACAAGCTTTTTGTCATTTTATCATGATAATGTTGAAGATGTTACATCAATAATTTTTGTTTTTTGTAGGTTTCCAGTTAATCCTGCCGAAAAAACGCATTTGGTAAAACATATTAAAACTTACTCCAGAAAACATTTCAAATAGTGACGTTTTATGTTCCAATCGTTTTTCTGGACATATATTTATGTCAAAGACTGGATGCGGAGGAAAAACTAGATTAATTCCAGGTGCATTGCCATCAGCATTTACTGAGGCCCCAGAAGAAGATGAATCTAAAAGGTAAAGAACCCTGCATTTTTCTTGTGGGTTAATGGTTCAAAACTTTTAATTTTTTAGTGATGATCTAAAATAATTACATAACGTAAACAAACCCTATTGAATGCGGACTCTATGAAATATATATGCTGGTAGGCCACACCTAAATAATTTGAAAGGTCTTTTAATTTAAATTTAAAAGTTCATCCCGAGAAATTTCTCTGTTTAATTGCCGAAACAAAGACGAGTAAAATAATTCACATGGTTTGTTATAAAATTAAATCAGGGGTGGGTGCCCACCATTTTACTGCAGTCACAAATCATTTCTGTTTAGGAAAAACCGCTCACAGGCTTTGGGTGACTACTTAGAGCGTCGGCAGGTGGCGGATAAAGCCGACGGCCTGAAACGATTTCTCATCATGAAGGTAATCACCAAATTCCCAATAAGGTGCAGCTGACCAACCTCCCAATACAAAGGTGTCATGCGATCCGTGCCAAAAGAATGCGAACGGAGAGCATCCGGGATACTAGGCGACCTCCCGGTAGTAATCAGTCTTACCTCCGTAATGCAGGGCTCTGCTGTAGTTGACCAACCCTTCCCTAGCTACTCATGGCATTATAATGAAAAACCATTCAGATGACAATGAAAATGGCGAAGACAATCCTCTCGACCGGCAGGAAATCGGCAAAGAACCGATGGAGGTTACCATAACCCTATCTACCAACGTCATTTCGGTGGAATTAGAGGAGGTACTACGTTTATCATCCAACTCCAGCGCAAATGAAATTCCACCCATCCATTAAAAATAGGCAAGCCAATGCTCTTTCTTTAGGCAAATAACCAACACGCCAAAGCGGCTTCATATGGGTCACTAAAGCTGACCCCCCAAAAATTGTTTATTGCTAATTTTTGAATTTCTATTAGCATAAATCGTTTGTTCGTTGTCTGTTCTTAATTGTTCGCAAATAATAATTGTTTGTTCTCATTTCGTTTATTTATAATAGTAAAAAATAAAATTGATCCTCTATTTAGCCCCCAACAATTTTTTTGCAAGTTTTCGAATTTTGCAAGCACATAAAACCATTTAATCACTTACCTGTGTATAAAATAATATAAAAATGTGTAAAAAATCCTATCTAAAAAGTGTATTTCTGTTTTAGTGACACACTACCATCACAAATTGAAGAAGATCCCACCAATTTAGACAAATACATTTACAAGGAAAGAACTTAAAGATGGATAGTTTTCAAATCTTAATCATTTCAGAAAAGGTATGCATTGACATTTTTCGAATGGCAGTATGTTAACTTCAATTTCTTTTTATACAGTTCAATTTGAATTTTATAAAATTTAGTTAGAAAATAGAATAATAAACGTTGCTTACAATATAGCTATCCAATATCCAAAATTTCATTCTTATAATAAAATTTTCTGCAACTTTTTAAAATCAAACTATAATACCACGAAAGTAGACTAAATTGACTTATTGGGAATAATTTTTTTATGTATAATAAGTAAAATTTGGAAAACCTTAACAATAGTCACCTAAGAGCTTAATTAAATCATAAGTAAAGAATGTGTGACATTTAAAAGTAAATTATTCATATTTCGACACGATATATATATATACATCTATTCAAATTATTACAAACGATTTTAAAGGGAGATTGATTTCTTTTTATAATGTCAAAGTTATATGTTTTTTTTCTAGTCATATCTCTTTTATAACTAATGTGCCTAAAGTTAAAATTTGTAATGTTTTGTTTTATTTAGAGACAAAGCTCTCTACCTTAACACAAAAATAGTTTTGTGGCTACAAACCATAGCCACAAAACTATTTGTAAAATCACTAAAAATTTTATAAGAGTAGCGATAATATTTCTAAACAAGAAATAAAAATATAAATGGAAAACAGGGAAGTCTTTCCATACAATTGACAAATGACTGTTAAAATACTTTGCTAAATACAAATTAGTTTTAATTGTGGTAAGTTCTACAGTGAAAGATTTATAAATAAACTATTCCTCAACTGGCGGCACTTCTTTTGATATAAGCATATAGAGGCTGCTAATTTTTGTTCATTATTGTGCTGGGTAACCATTTTTTATTTTGGAACTTTAACGTTTATAATTAGCTTTGTTTGCGGAGCCTGTAGCCGACAAGTCCGCAACAAATGGGCATGCGCATTGCGATTTCATGAGTTATCGGAGTCGAAAATCAGTTTGACAAAATGTTCAACGTTCACAGAGCACTTGACAGTTATAAGGTAGGAGACGCTATAAGTATCTTTTTCAAACATTTAAAACAACTTATATTGGCCATAAACTATAGATGGAATTTGGTACGTTAATAACGCTATGAATTTTAATAATTAAAATTCTTATTCTTAAAAAAGTTTAAAAAACAAATATCAAAATATATAGGTGATGTTACAACAAATATTATCTATCTATAAA